GTTATATATATTTGCAAGTTTGCAAATATTCTGTAATTTTTGAAAATCAGGATTCTGGGGTTACCTTTGGACATCAAGCTTCATTTGAATTCAATTATAGCTTAAAATACATGTTTTAGTGCAAACCATTCGATGTTAAATGATGATTATGATAGATTTATTAGTTCATTTGATAGTTTATGATGATTCTTGAACATTTCCAATTTTCCATGTTTTTAATTATTATTTTCCATGAATTTTTTTGAAAGTTAGCTTCCTGATGGTTTCTTTAAATGTAATGTTTCAAATTCTTTCAAATATGTATCAACTAAATGTTTCTATTAACATTTTATCGAAGGCCTGAGTTAGAGAGAGAGAGAACCCTAAAAAAGTTAACTTTCAGAAAAATTCACGAAAAATGATAATTAAAAACATGGAATATTGGAAATGTTCAAGAATCGTCATAAACTATTAAATGAACTAATAAAGCTATCATAATCATCTTTTAACATTGAATTGTTTGCACTAAAACAAGTATTTTGAGCTATAATTGAATTCAAATGAAGCATGATGTCCAAAGGTATCCCCAGAATCCTGATTTTCAAAAAATACAGAATATTTGCAAACTTGCAAATATATATAACGATTATTGATATCGCCTTCATCTTAGAACTCGGTCAAAAGCGTATCCAAAGAAATTTTTTAAGGGATCATTCAATTAACTGAAGACATTTTTTGTTAGTTACCGTGAAAAAAAATATAAGAAAGAATTCAAAAATTTTTAAAAGTAATAAATGAATTGAATTTTAATTAATGACGATTGACAGGGCTCAACAATACCTACATTGGAGGGAAAAAAAGTGTACTTGTGGCGCGAGCCACTATAGATTAATTTCTTTAATTTATTTCGTAGCGTTTCGAATATTCGAAACGTCGGAATTCGAGACAAACATCATTCTGTCCTTGTCCCTCACGAAATTTCAGGACAATTCTCGAACCTTCGATAAACGAAGGTATATAAACTGGTACGGTTCCCGGCGGAAAAAGTCAGTCTACTTTTGAGTACGCATGTAAACACTTGCCTTTAAATATATAGTTCTTGTCAACACCGAGTTATTATTTTTGATACCCGCACCAAACCGCCACAACTGGTGACCCCGACGTGATTGAAGTGAATAGTTTTCTCGCGTTTTCTTTGATTATTAATTATATCACGTCAACGCCGCGACTGTTCCACGAAATTCGACTGCATTTCGATCATGCACTTTGGGAGTGGTTTGTGTGCCGCATACGCTCGTGTGTTGTATCGTTCACGCGCTCCATTCGAGTTCTTTTCGTGAATTTCGGTGCATTGCTGAGCACCCAAGGACGCTGTGCTGCACTGAATATTTTTCAGACTTTCACTAGTGTTGTTTTTCGTGAAACAAAATGCCCGATAGTGTCGAGGGGCGCGAAGCTGACAATGGAGCCCCGCTCCAACGCGTTTCGATATGATGTCCCGCCTTCAATGCCGAACGTCTAGCGATATGGTTCGNCTTTGTGAGTGGTTTGTGTGCCGCATACGCTCGTGTGTTGTATCGTTCACGCGCTCCATTCGAGTTCTTTTCGTGAATTTCGGTGCATTGCTGAGCACCCAAGGACGCTGTGCTGCACTGAATATTTTTCAGACTTTCACTAGTGTTGTTTTTCGTGAAACAAAATGCCCGATAGTGTCGAGGGGCGCGAAGCTGACAATGGAGCCCCGCTCCAACGCGTTTCGATATGATGTCCCGCCTTCAATGCCGAACGTCTAGCGATATGGTTCGCCCAGCTCGATGGACAGTTTCATCTATCCGGGATTAACGATGAAGTAACGAGGTATTACTATGCCTCGTCTCATCTCGATCCCAAGGCCGCTGCTGAGGTGCAGGATATCCTCCTAAATGTGCATGCCGAGACACCGTACACAAGTCTCAAGGAGGCGCTCGTCGAACGCCTCACGCTCTCCCGGGACGCACGACTCCAGCAGCTGCTCGACCGAGAGGTATTGGGTGACAGGAAGCCCTCGCAATTCCTGCATCATCTCAGGAGTCTCGACGACACAGTTCCTGACAAGATTTTACGCACCAAGTGGCTCGGCCCACTGCCGATGACGACGCAGTCCATCCTGGCGTCACAAGCGGACATGGCTCTCGACAGGCTTGCAACACTGGCCGACAAACTGCACGAGATGACATTGCCGGTAGCCCACATCAATGACGTCCAGGAGCCAACGTCCTCAGCCCTCGAGACACGCTTTTCTCGAAGCCACAATCTGCAAGCTGGCATCGGCCCTAGAAAGGCAAAGCGTCGCACGTTCTCGCTCCCGCTGTCGATACCGTTCTTGAGCAACCTCGCCAGCACCCGACAACAACCAGTGCTGGTATCATCGAAGATACCACGACCGGGCTAGACATTGCAAAGCACCTTGCTCGTGGCAGGGAAACGCCCCGGCGGATCGTTAGCGACGGTTAACGTTCCCTCTTTCAAATCCAGCCGCCTCTTCGTACCTGATAGCGCCACCAAAATCGAATACTTGGTGGATACTGGCGCCGATCTTGGTACATTTCCGAAATCTCTCCCTCCTGAAGCAAAGAAACGAGTTAACTATACGCTTATTGCAGCCAACGGCTCGACAATCAACACGTACGGCTGCATAACTCTATCGCTCAACCTCGGCCTCCGGAGAGATTTCACATGGCGCTTCGTAGTAACGGACACAACCAAACCAATTATCGGTGCCGATTTTTTGGCGCATTTCGACACCTGAAGAACCTGCCTTATCGACTTAACAACTGGATTAACGACCTCATGTAAAGTGTCGCTATCCAGCATCATCTCGGAAATCAAGCTTACGCCTGTCGATCATTCATCGTCAGATCTCCTCGGTAAGTTTCCCAATTTAACGAAACCCAAAGGAATATGCCTTCCAGCCAAACATTCGACGCTGCACCATATCGCCACTATACCTGGACCTCCAGTATCCAGCAAATCAAGACGCCTCGCCCCTGACAAAATGAAAATCGCCAAGGTGGAGTTCGACAAAATGATGCAACTGGGAATCACTCAACGTTCGAAGAGCCCCTGGTCATCTCCGCTCCACTTGGTACCGAAAAAGTCAGGCGAATTGCAACCTTGTGGAGATTATAGACAATTGAACGCACGAACAATTCCGGATCGATATCCCGTTCGCGTTCTAGAGGACTTCACTATTAATCTCGCTGGGAAAACAATCTTTTCGTGGATCGACCTCGTACGCGCCTTTAACCAAATACCTGTGGCCATCGAGGACGTAAACGAAACAGCTATCATCACACCATTTGGCCTTTTCGAATTCCCGTTCATGACGTTTGGGCTTCGAAATGCCGCACAAACATTTCAACGGTTTATCGACGAGGTTACACGAGGCTTGGACGATTTCGCCTTTCCGTATATCGATGACATCCTCATCGCTTTCAAGGACATCGAGGAACATCGCAGACACCTCCACATCCCCTTTGAACGGCTCTCGAGATACGGTGTTGTAATTAACACCGCCAAGTGTCGTTTCGGCCAACCGGAGGCAGACTTCCTCGGCCATCGTATCTCGGCGCAGGGTATCTTACCGCTCCTGTCGAAGGTAGAGGCGATCATCAATTTTCTTCGGCCAAATCCATTCGTAAATAGCGCGAGTTCCTAGGTATGATCAATTTTTATCGCAAATTTCTTAAAGATGCTGCAAGATTTCAGGCTCCCCTCTATGAATACACTCAGGGTGCTAATATCAAAGGCTCTCACCCCGTCGCCTGGACACATGAGGGCGATACCGCTTTCACCGCCTGCAAGGAGGAGCTGTGAAAAGCAACGTTACTGGTCTACCCGGACACGACACTCCCGTGGGCCATATTCACCGATGCTTCCGAATACGCCATCGGTGCAGTCCTGCAGCAACGACGAGGACAGCACTGGGAACCACGGGCATTTTTCAGCCAGAAACTACAACCTGCGCTGAGAAAACACTGCCCTTACGATCGAGAGCTCCACGCCATCTACGCTGCCGTGCGAAAGTTCCGCTACATTTTCGAGGCGAGGCACGTCACGATCTTTACAGATCATAAGCCGTTGCTTCATGCCTTCGCCCAGGATCCCGCCGGAGCCACGCCGTGGCAGTTCCACCGCCTGGATTTTATCGGCCAGTTTTCGACCGACATCCAGTAGTTGGCCGGCAAGGACAACGTTGTCGCCGATGCGCTTTCTCGTATCGAGGCAATCTCTGCTGCCGTCTCTACGAATGAGTTTGCCGAAGCTCAAGCCGCTGACGAGGAGCTCCAGCAACGTCTCCAGGGTCAACATTACGACGCTCTCGCCCTACGACCTATCATATTCCAGACTGCGCCACGCCTATCTATTGCAACGTGTCTGGCGCTCTGATTCGCCCTTTCGTTCCTGTGCCGTTGAGAAGAATTTTCGACGCTCTCCATAGCGTTAGCCATCCTGGGGCACGAGCCTCAACGAAGCTGGTAACGCAGCGCTACGTCTGGCCCGACATCAACCGAAACTGCCGTCTATGGGCCCGTGCGTTCATCACTTGCCAACAAAATAAAGTATCTCGTCATGTCTCATCTCCTATTCAAGATTTTCCAGGACGCACGCAGCGCTTCGAGCACATACACGTGGACATCATCGGACCGTACGTTCCGTCCAGAGAGGATCGCAACTGCCTGAAGATCATAGACCGTTTCACCAGGTTCCCAAAGGCGTTCCCCATCGAAAACACTGGAGCCGAGTGTGTCGCCCGAACGCTCTTTTCTATATGGATCTTCTGCTACGGAGTGCCGCTTCGAATTACAACTGACCAGGGGAAACAGTTTGAGAGCCAGCTGTTCAACGCTCTCGCTCGTCTTCTCGGTAGCAGACATATTCACACCACCATGTTCCATCCTCAGTCAAATGGAATGGTGGAATGTCTGCATCGTCATCTGAAGGACGCCATTCGCTGTCATGAAAGCGATTCGTAGGTGGACATGCTGCCTATCGTCCTTCTCGGAATTCGCGCCGCCTGGAAAGAAGACCTCGGCGCAACTCCTGCCGACCTCGTCTTCAGTGAACCGCTCCGACTACCGGGGGAATTTCTTGCTTCCTCGCTACCACGCGGGCTACCGCCTACCAATATCGCCGATCATCTGAGGAATCACTTCGCCGATCTCGCTCTTCAACCCGTCGCCCGTCATGGCCAGAGGAAGATTTTCGTCTTTAAGGAGCTCGCAAACTGCTCACACGTCCTCGTTCGTCGCGATGCTCCCCATCACGCCTTCACGTCCCCATACGAGGGGCCACACCAAGTAATATCAAGGCACGTGAAACATTTCGATATTCGAATTAGAGGCGAAACTACTCCATCGAGCGTCTCAAACCCGTTTTCTCGCTCCCAGACGACGAGCACAACAATGACGACGAAGCTAACAACGATTCCGACGACAGCAATACGACGATGACTGCACCACCTTCACCGGAGTCACCGCAACCGGGAACATCTCGACGTTCGTCATCTTATTGCCCAGCTGACACCGGCTCATCAACGTCATCAATTCAAAAGCACGTCAGATTCGCTAAAAGATATCAGCTGTTCTCAGCAAATTGATATTATTGATTTTCTTCTGGCTTTATTTTGCTTTCTTTTCTTTTTCCACAGAAGGGGAGTACTTGTGGCGCGAGCCATAATAGATTAATTTCTTGAATTTATTTCGTAGCGTCTCGAACCTTCGATAAACGTAGGTATATAAACTCGTACGCTCCCCGGCGGAAAATGTCAGTCTTCTTTTGAGTACGCATGTAAACACTTGCCTTTAAATATACAGTTCTTGTCAACACCGAGTTATTATTTTTCATACCCGCACCAAACCGCCACAAAAAAGATTCAATGCAATCGATTCATTAGCGAGGAATCGACGCAAAATTTTGTTTATATACGTACACATATACACACATACATACTTACGGATATGGTTTAAAAATTGCACTTTTGGACTTTTTGAATCATAATGGTTCAATCTATCAAGAAAAANCCTTTAAATATACAGTTCTTGTCAACACCGAGTTATTATTTTTCATACCCGCACCAAACCGCCACAAAAAAGATTCAATGCAATCGATTCATTAGCGAGGAATCGACGCAAAATTTTGTTTATATACGTACACATATACACACATACATACTTACGGATATGGTTTAAAAATTGCACTTTTGGACTTTTTGAATCATAATGGTTCAATCTATCAAGAAAAATTAAATTTGAATGATTACAATGTTTCCATTCGGAACCAATATTTAAGAACATTAAACTCATTTGCATACATTGGAGAAACATTTTAAATCAAAACATTCGAAAGACAATTGAAAATATTGATGAATATGAAAAACCATTTGCATGCAACCGAAAAACATTTTTAAACATTTACAAACATTTCAAAAACTTTTTAAAAACATCGATTGTAAGACGTATAGAGGATTTTTGGTATCACAATATTCCTTATGATAATATCTGTCGAATATACGAAGAAGACGAACACAATATTGTGATTATTTCGAAAAAATTAATAATATCTTTTTTTTTATTATTATTAATAATATCTTTGAAATAAGTAGCAAATTGCCCTTAGCAATACGCTTCCGAATGATTATTTTACAATATATTTCCTTCTATCACTTATAATTGATTGTTTATCATTCTATTAAATTAAATAAGATTCATTTCCAACTCATTTTGTCAGATTTTCAAGTTAATGGAATGTTTTCATCATTATTCTTATTATTCCTTTCTTCTCTACAACTGATGGTCTTTTTACGGTTCTCTCTCTCCCTCGACACTTCTATTAAATGTTAATAGAAAAATTTTATTAATACCTACCTGAATGAATTTATAACGTTACATTTGAAGAAACCATCAGTAAGCTAACTTCCAGAGAAATTAATGAAAAATATGCAGTAATAATAACAGGAGAAGAAAAGCTAACTCATCCCCATAGAGCTATCATAGGAAAATTTGCATGTTTAATGGAGTCAAAAGAGAATGATCATGATATCCCTCATAGTATCGCATCCTATGTGAAATGTGCTTTTGATGATTCATTATCACAAGTCAAAACCCATCGAGGTCCGCACTGCATTGAGTGGTTTTCAACGGAGATGAAGCTGCTATCATACAGAGTAGATAAATAGTTGGAGACTAAACTGAAAAAGGAAAACTTATCAACTCAGCAAATTGAGGATTTCGGACCAGCAGTGACATCTTACATGTGTAAAAATCCTTTGAATGAAAGTGATAAAGTGCGTGATCGCTGTCATTTAACAGGAAAATATCACGGGGCTGCCCACAAGAGTTGTAATCTTGCCATGCTATTTTTGAATCAATCCTTCCCATTATATCCTTAATCTTATAATAATAGTTATGATAGAAGTAATTGAACAAAATGGGAAATATCACAGTTCTAACTTTTCCAACTCTTATTCCGAATTCGAATTTGTATTTTTCATAAACATAATGTGACCTTTTTCCTTTAATTTATAATTAATTCCTGAAAGGAGGATTCGGACAATTAAAGAAATAGGACAAATAAGGGTTAATTATAGGAAAAACTAACTATATTTTCCTCAAATTATAAATAATCGTCACAAAGACGTTAATATGGCTTTTAATGAGATCTAGGGAAGTGGGGGAGGCCAGGCAACTTTTGTACACGTTTTAAAGGGAGATTCTAATGGATAACAAAGGGACAGATTCTAGGTGTGTCGAGGGGAAAATAATAAGGAAAGGAAAATATAATAATTGGATTTATTGGGGGAAAAATAACCAAGTGTGGCGCACCGTTGGGGGGGGGGGGGGGAAAGAAATACTGTTTAAGGCGAGGGGGAAATGAGGAGGACAACTCGTACTCACTTCGACTCTCGGGTGCACTTAGCACGTGCGTTTATCCTCCCAAAAAGCACAGAACTTCTCCAGGTAAGAGCCTTCCTTCCTACTCCTCGATTCATGGGCACCAATGCAGATTGGGATGAGCTCAGGGTTTCCAAAAATCCTCTTTCTGATAATCNAAATAATGTTCAAGGAGAGGGGGAAATGAGGGGGACAACTCGTACTCACGTTGACTTCCGGGTGCAATTCGCACGTGCGTCTATTCTCCCAAAAATACACAGAGCTTCTCCAGGGAAGGGCCCTCCTTCCTACTCTCCACTTCCTGAGCACCAATGTAGCTTGGGATGAGCTCAGGGTCTCCAAAAATCCTCTTTCCACGCAATACGGGGCGATTTCCGCAAATAACGGGCTTCCTTGCTTTTCACTATGCACACGTGATAACACTCGGGGCAGCTGGCTTACGAGTGATTCCTTTCTCTTCTCTTCCTTCTTCTCCTTCGTAATTCGGGGGAATTCGCAGGATCTCGAGTTCTTTCGGGTCAACTTCGAGGGGAATCGGGGCCAATCAAGGTGTTGAGATTGTGCCCACGATCACAATCCAGAGCTGTATCGGTGGTGAATTTTAAGGGCGGTGGATTATCGTAGCTTCCCCATAGGCATTTCTCGTGGGCGACGGCTCCTTCACCCACTCCAGGTGGTTCGGAACTGCTAACTTCCTTCGGCGGCTGTTCGTCGTTGAATCCAGGGGCGATGGTAGAGGGGTAATGAGGGGAATGTCTTGGGAAAAGGTAACCAACGGCGGCGGGATTTACGTTTTAAGGGGCTGTGTGTGTTGGGAAAAAATGTAGGTAAAAATAATAAAAAATGAATAAATATGTCTCGTCACAGCTCTCCTGGGGGTAGAGAACACATAGGGTTTCCACAACCCTACGTAGAAAGATTCAAACCTTATACTTCTACTTTCCGATCAACGGCTCCAGGAGAAGAGAGGCTGAAATGAAGGCTCATAACTATTAGGAACACTACCGTTTATTTCTTTTGGTACGGGCTATCTCCCTACTATTTTCCCCTGTCAATAATACTTTTATCATTAAATTAACCACTGCGTCTCCACAACACTCTCTTCCTTATTTCCACATCGATTAAATATAATCGTAATAATAACAATATGATCTATTAGAAAAAAAAACAAAATGACTCAGAAAGAAAAGAATACTATTCAATGGCCCTTTGGGCAACGAAAGAAAATAAAACTATTCTAATGGTTTTTCGGAAGAGCAGGGTGGGTGACTTAAGGCTAGGGAGAGTATTACAGGGGGTGAGCTAGGGATTTGTCTGGGAATCCGGTCTAGGGGAGATTACGGCAGGTGGGACAAAAACGAACGTCCACCCTCCACTTTCCACAGAAAAAGCAGCGTCGGGCTTCTATGGAGCAATCTTTGGCGTGGTGATCGCCGTTGCAGTTTCTACAACCAGTGAACAACAAGGGAGAATCCAGGAGAATTGAGCTTGTCCGAGGGTAACCAGGTGATCTGTGGATGTTCGCAGGGGCTCTAGGGATTTGGAGGGACATGAGTGGGATTGGTTTAGGGGTTGTGGGAGGCACTAGATTCATCAAGGGGGGAGGATTTGACGCTAGGGGAGCTGACGACTTCCATACTGTTGCGGGGGGGATGGCAGTGTAGGTCCGCCCGGCTTGGATTTGCTAGGGCTACAGGTTTGGGAGGTAGTAATGGAGGCGAGGGCTATTAACGAGGGTCTGGGGGTCGCACGAGTTATGAGGGGATTGGGGGTTTGTGACAGTGGGTTCTGGGGGTGCTTAAGGGCTCTGCTGGCGATTCGAAGTATCTGGGGCGTGAACGGAGGACCTCTAGGGGATGGGGGTGTCAGTGTTGCTCCTGTGGACTGTAGGAGAGGAGCGAGGGGTGGGGGAATATACTTTCCAGTGAAAGTCTGGCCGAGACTTTCCAGTGAAAGTCTAGCCGAGGGTCTGGGGGTGTATTGGGGGGTAACTGAGGGGGGGATCGACAAGGGATGAAGGGGAGAACTTGATGAGGGGGCCGAGGGGGGGTGGACTAGGGATTTGTACTCGAGGGTCCGTGAGGGGGGCAGTGGGACGTCTGCGGGGTCTACCACATCCTCTGGGCGTGTGCTGGGAATCTCCTGGGGTGGCGGCGTCATCTGAGACGCGCTGAGCCTCTCTGGAAGAGTCATCAGGGGGAACTGCTTCTCCCACTCGATCTCCTTCCATCCTCTCGTTAAGAGCGTCTGCATCTCCATGTACTGAGCTGACCGAGGTGGGTTTGGGGGGAGCATCTCTCCCATCGGGACTCTGTAGAGTCCTCTCCTGATCGGGCTTCTCCTCGTATTTGAAATCGTATTCTGAACCTAGGTGATCGAGGGTAAAATGGTCTAAGGTGGGTGATGTGGATTTTACTAACGCGATTCCCATTAGGGTCTTCTAAATCATATATGACGGGGGAAATGACATTTACAATCAAGTAGGATCCATCAAATTTGGGGGCTAACTTCGCGGTAAAATGGGCAGCTGCTTGGGACAGGGGGCGGTACTTTCTCAGAACGAATTCTCCCAACGCGAAAACTTTGTTAGATCGATTTTTATCATAATATTCGGCTTGGCGAGCAAAAGCTTCACCCATAACCTTTCGTGCCAGATCATACATGTGGGTCATTCTCTCTAGTCTTGTCTTCCAGGGTCCAGTGGGGG